TTTATGCTTCCATTTATATAATAGTCTTGGGCTGCTGGAGAGGCTCAAGTGGTAGGGTGCCTGCCTAGCAAGTGTGAGGCCCTGAGTTCAAACCCCAGTACCATCAAAAATAAACTTCATAAATATTCTTGAAATGACAAAATTAAAGAGATGGAAAATAGATGAGTGACTTCTAGGGGCTAGGGATGGGGGAAGGGAGGTATTAGACTACATTGTTTAGGGAATAATGACAAGAAAAAAATCATGTGTGTTCAGTATGGACACAATTTATTTTTCTGAATTTTCTTTTTGGTGAGACTAGGGTTTGAGCTCAGGGCCTTACACTTGCTAGGCAGGCACTCTATCACTTGAGCCATGCCTTCAGTCCATTTTGCTGTAGTTATTTTGGAGATGAGGTCTCACAAACTATTTGCCTAGGCTGGCCTTAAACCTCGATCCTCCTGATCCCAGCCTTCCAAGTAGGTTGGATTATAGCCGTGAACCACCGGCTCTTAGTTTTCTGAATGTTTTTGATTGGAGGTTGATGGACACCTTGGATGGACATATAGATGGACAACTTAAGGTTCCCTGTTACCCTGAAGCCTTATAAGATTCTCAAAAGCGAATTTTTTTTGACAGTATTGGGGCTTGAGCTCAGGGCCTTACTCTTGGGAGCTCTACCACTTCAGCTATGTCCCCCAGGCTTTCAAAAGGGAATTTTAAAGTTCATTTTCCTGCCTGCTCCCATCTCTTGTCACCTCCCTCTATCCATCAGGTCCTATCAGACAGACCACGTGTGGTCCCTCTGCCGATGCAGCAAGAGTCCCTCCTACCCCGTCCTCTCAGCACCACCCAGCTCCCCTTCCTGCCCTGGGGCTCTATCTAGACCTGGCCCACCCTGAAGGCACTTTAAGCAATGGTTCAGTGTTGCGGGTGGGACTGTTATTATAATGCTGCCTCTGCCATGACGCCTTCTGGATTCCCACACTATCACCCTTGCTAGGAGATACTGAACTCTACCTCTCTTGTGTTTCCTTAGTACTTCATGTGACCTTGGTGACTTACTTCTGTCCTTGTTATTCATCTCACCAGACTACAATGAGGGTTAAACTGGGTTATACTTATGACACCCCCACCAAGCACCTGATAAAAACCCCATAATAAAATCTATTATAGCAGCCAGGCACTGGTGACTCACACCTGTAATCCTAGCTATTTGGGAGGTTGAGATCAGAAGGCAGATAGTTCAAGAGACCCTCTCCAAAATAACAAGAGCAAAATGGACTGGAGGTGTGGCTCAAGTAGTAGAGCGCCTGCTTTGCAAGCATGAAGCCCTGAGTTCAAGTCCCAGTCCCACCAAAAAAGAAAAAAAACTATTATAGCCAAACATAGTGGTACACACCTATAAGTCCAGCTGCTCAGGAGGCAGAGGCAGGAAGATGGAGAGTTCAAGGCCAGCCTAGGAAAAGTTAGTCAGATCCTATCTCAAAAACAAGCCGGGAGCTGGTGGCTCACTCCTGTCAGCCTAGCAACTCAGGAGGCAGAGATCAGGAGATCTCGGTTCGAAGCCAGCCCAGGCAAATAGTTCCTCAAGACCTTATCTTGAAAAACCCTTCACAAAAATAGGGCTGGTGGAGTAGCTCAAGGTGAAGGCCCTGAGTTCAAGCCCCAGCACCACACACACACACACACACACACACACACACAAATTGTGATGAATATATTTGACACTGAAACATGCCATATGACATTTGTCTTACTGCCTCATTTTGCAACATGTCCGTATTAGATTTTCCCACTGGACAGGGAGCTCATCTTGTATATCCAACAGGACATAGCATGCTCTCTGGCCATAACAGGTCCTTCAACAAATCTTGGTTGTTTTTTTGCTTTTTTTCTTGCAGTTCTGGGCATTGAAGCCAAGACCTTGCACATGGTAGGCAAGTGCTCCACTGCTAAGCTACACCCCCAGCAACAAATCTTTCCTTAATATGCACAAACAAGCACACAGAGGGGCCACAGGCATGTGCAGGTGGGTGTGTGCACAGATTTATAGACACACGTTCTTCCACGTTATGTCCTTCTAAGCCCATTTTGTTTGTTTGTTTGACAGTACTGGGATTTGAACTCAGGGCTTCGTGCTTGCTAGGCAGGTGTTTTGCCACTTGCGCCATGCCTTCAGCCCCTGATAAATCCATTGTAAGTTGAAATGTAAAAAGGAAAAAACGCATTGGTAGCTTATAAGGCAGCACACTGCAGAGTCTAACCGTTCAGCCTCGTGATAGCAGCATCTCAAGAGAATACTGTACCACATTTCCCCACCGTAATGAAAAAGGAGGTAGATTTCTTTCCTGCTTGTCGTAAAAGCTCATGGCCAACACTTCTCTACTAAGAAACTGTTAACAGAAAGAAAAGTACAGCAACTTTATTTGATCATGGTCTTTCCCTTTCTTTCTTTCTTTAGTGGCGGTGCTGGGGTTTGAACTCAGGGCTTGATGCTTGCTAGGCAGACACTCTGCCACTTGAGCCACTCTGCCAGCCCTATTCTATGTTGGGTATTTTTGAGATAGAGTCTCTCTAACTATTTGTCCTAACTGGCTTCAAATCTTGATCCTCCTGATCTCTGCCTCCTGAGAGCTGGGATTACAGCTGTGAGACACTGGTGCGTGGCTTTATCATAGTTTTATGTGACACGGGAGCTCTTAAGTAGAATACCCAAAGACTCAGGGTGAATTATCATTTTTACACTTAGGTCCTATGAAGCATGGATAGTATGTAAAAATATGTATGTAATATGTATTAATATATAATAATGTGACTACTCTAATACTAAAAGACAAAGTGGAGAAACACAGCACAGCCTGTCTGTTCAGATTCTTTTTGGCCTCTTAGGCAGCATTCCTTTATCCCAGGTGTTGGGCAGGACTTCTTTGGAATAAGGTCATGGCCTGCTATCAGATAAGATGGGTCAGGGAATTTCCTTAATGCCAAATAAAGAGACAAGTAAAAGCCAGGCATCAGAGGCTCATGCCTGTAATCCTAGCTATTTGAGAGGCTGAGATTGGGAGGATTGCAACTTGAGGCCAGCCTGGGGAAACAGTTCTCAAGACCCCCCATCTCCAAAATAACCAGAGCAAAATGGACTGGAAGTGTGGATCAAGTGCTAGAATGCCTACGTTGGAAGTGCGAAGTCCTGAGTCCAAACCTGTCCCATCCCTACCCCACAAAAAAAGAAGATAAGTAGAGATGAAAAGAAGAGGATGCAGCTTTATTAACACAGCACTGGCACGAGGAGGGAAGAGGCACAGTACGGAATGAAGCCACCTGAATTCAGGGTTCAGACACAAGCTTTAGGTTTTAGTAGAGAAAGAACTGGGACCTGGTGAGTTGGGGAGAGGTGTGCAGAATTATTTAATAGCCCTAGTCAAAACGTGGCCTAGTTGATCATTACAAGGTTCTGAGAAGTTGTTATTGCTGTCATAAACAAGATAGTGTTGCCTGGAGGGTGGCCTGTCCTTGCAAGGGCTCTGTGGCTCCTTTCCTTGTGGGAAGTTCCTCCTCCAGAGTTACTGATCAATCCTGTCCTTCTTGCTTCCATTCCTGGTGATTGCAGGGGACAAAAATTCAGAACAAAGGATACAGATATAAAATGGAGACAGAGATGCCACACTTACTTCCTGATTTTATTTTATTTCATTTATTTTTACAGTGCTAAAGTTTGAACTCAGGGCCTACACCTTGAGCCACTTCACCAGCCCTAGTTTTTGTGATACGTCCTCTCAAGATAGGGTCTCCAAAACTATTTGCTGGCTTCAAACTGTAATCCTCCTGATCTCTGCCTCCTGAGTAGCTAGGATTATAGGTGTGAGCCACCAGTGCCCGGTTTATCTCCTGATTTTAGTTACCCTTTGGACATTTGCAGGCCCAAGTGAGGAGTCAAGTGATTTTCAGCAAAAGCAGAAAGAAAGAGATTCTTTCTTTCTGGCTTTTCCCTTTGGTGGTATTAGGGTTTGAATTCAGGGCCTTACACTTGCTAGGCAGGTGCTCCACCACTTGAACACACCTCAAGCCCTTTTTTTACTGTAGTTATTTTTCAGGTAGGGTCTCATTTGTGCTTTTGCCCTGGGCTGGCCTAAGATTACAGTCCTCCTACCAATGGCCTCCATGTCCCTGGGACACCACGCCTGGCTGATGGATTGAGATGGGGGTCTTGCTAACTTTTTGCCAGAGTTGGCCTTGAACCTTCATCCTCCTGATCTCCCTTCAAGTAGCTAGGGTTATAGCCGTGAGCCACTGAGCCCAGCAAAAATATCTGTTACATAAACTCTTCTGTTGCCAGGGCTCCCATGTTCCCTTCACACAGACCATCCTAAATTACCTGAAACAACTCAAAAGAATTGTGCATTTCATTCCTGTCACCACACATTCTGTTGATTGTAATTCTCAGGAGGCCTTTCCCTCATGGGAGAGTCCCCATGAGCCCCAAACCTCCGTGCCCATTTCAAATGGATCTCCAAAGTTGCCTCTCTGTCCCTCAGCAAGGACTTAGGCAATGAAGGGTGTTACCCAGGCTGGAGTGTTCACAGCCCGACAACCTGGCCTGAGGACACACACACACACACACACACACACACACACACACACACACACACACACACACACACACGCGCGATCCTAGCTGGGGACTCCAGCAAGGACTTAGGCAATGAAGGGTGTTACCCAGGCTGGAGTGTTCACAGCCCGACAACCTGGCCTGAGGACACACACACACACACACACACACACACACACACACACACACACACACACACACACACACACACACACACGCGCGATCCTAGCTGGGGACTCCAGCCCCCAGCCTTCCTGCCGGAGCCAAGCTGGCCTGGCAGGGCTGGGGGCCTCCCAGGGAGAAGTCCAGGCTGGGGTGGGGAAGAAGGCGGGGCCTGAGCCTGTGCAAGTGGGTGTCCCGGGCCTGGGACGGAAGTTGCACCACAAGTACAATTACTTTCAGTTTTGTTTCTCTTTCAGGTACTCAGTAACAGCGGTGTCCAGGCCTCGGAGTCCCCCTTGTATTCCTGGAGCCCAAGGTCAGCTGCGGCTGGGTAAGGAGGGGGTTGGGGGGGGCAACCAAAGCAAGAGCTGGACTGGGCTGGGGGAGGGGAGAGAGAAAAAGGGAAGGAGAGAGAGAGAGAGAGAGAGAGAGAGAGAGAGAGAGAGAGAGAGAGTGCGTTCAGGGAAGGGAGGGGAGAGAGGGAAAGAGAGATGTGGACGTTCTGAGCGGTCAGGCCTGGAAGCAGGCCCTGCCCCTCTCAAGCCTCCACCCATGAGCCTCCCCAAGAAAAAGCCCCCTCCACTCTACGCTCCCCTCCCAGCCCGGGAAAAGAGGAAATGCCATCAGCTCTCCTGATAAAGGACTTCTGTCAGTGTGCTGGAAACTCCAGACTCCTGCTCTTGAGAGGTTTCTGGAATCCATTTCATAGGAAAGGCTAAAATTAGAGGACTCCAGGAAGGGAGGCCCAGGATAGGAGACCGGAGGTTCACCTGAGTGAAGAAGATGAATCCCTTCACCTCAGCTTTCGTTGGTTCCACAGTTCATTTCAGGAAAAGTCAGGGCAGGAAGTGGAGTCCCCCTCACCCCTAAGGGTGCAGCTCCAGGGTCAGCAAGACAGGTGGATAGGACTGGGGGAATTAAGGTCTCTACTACTAGAGGACCCTGCCCTAGCTGCCAGAACCAGCATTGTTATCAGAGAGTGGGACCTCTGCTTGTGTCTAGCACCTACCTGATGAATTCAGACAAGACACAGAAGCAAAGTGACATAATAGCAAAGCAAGGTTTATTAGGAAAAATACACACTTTCAATAGTCTGAAAGTTGCTTATTTCTAGAGTGCTAGTTTTGGAGTTTGGGTAAGAACATTATCAGTCTTTAGGGTTTGAATATTTACTGAGATAATCCCTGAGAAATTCTTAGCCCCAGGTCCCAGCCTACAGGGCTGAGATCATGGTTAAGCAACATATATTTTTCTTGGTTACAGTTTCATAACACCAGGGGAGGTTTACAGAATTACTATGTACAAATGACTACTGGGTCAACCTGACTCCTAAGATATGACTTATGGGCCTAGGTCTTACAGAGGTATTGTTTCAGAAAATGTTTTTTGTCAACACACATCAAGCTTCAATCACGATCCTTATTAATCTTTATTTGGGCTCAGAAAAAACATCTTTTTTTTATTTTGGTGGGACTGGGGTTATGAACTCAGGGCTTCACACTTGCAAAGCAGGCACTCTACTGGTTGAGCCATATCTCCAGTCCATTTTGTTCTGGTTATTTTAAAGATGGGGGTCTCAAGAACCATTTGCCCAGCCTGGCCTCAAACCTCAATTCTCCCTATCTCAGCCTCACAGGTAGTTAGGATTATAGGTGTTAAAAACCAGTGCCTGGCTCAGAAAAACATCTTGGAAATTGAATCTTATAACATTCCCCCTTGATCTTTATGGGCTTTTTTTTTTTTTTAACAGAATCTGATCACCAGTGAGTTGAAAAGCTTATAATTACAATGTTTTTCTCCCAGAGACCCTGTGATCCCTTCCTCCTGTGGACATCACTTCTGTCTACCTGCTACCTACAACCTGACTCTCTGTCTTCACTGACTTCTCCTCACACCCAGCACCTACCTGAACAAGACCTCTCCCCTCTGTATCTATTCACACACCTCTGTATCCATTGATCCACACCTGCCACAAGGCCTGTCACCTGGTGCACTGATGATTGGATTGTTCCCTCTTTAAGACTAAGGGACTTCTTGTCATTTCTCACTGGCAGGACAGCATTTTCATTTACTGAATAAACCTAAAGAGAAAGAGGGAGGCTTCCCGGCTCGAGAGCAAGTGGCCAACAGCCCAGTAAGTCAGAAGGAAATTTCTGACCATTCAGGTAAGACCCAAGAATTCTGTGTGGCTTAATGATGGGGAGAGAGGAAGGAAGGGCTAGAGGCACCTCTGACCTTTGACCTCTGCCCCTGCCCCTGTAGCATGGTTTCCCAGGGCTCCTCACCCTCCCTTCTGGAGACCCTGAGCAGTGACTTCCTGGCCTGCAAAATCTGCCTGGAGCAGTTGCATGTGCCCAAGACTCTGTCCTGCCTGCACACCTATTGCCAAGACTGCCTGGCCCAGCTGGCTGAGGATGACCACATCCGCTGCCCTGAGTGTCGCGAGACTGTGCCCGTGCCGCCATCAGGTGTGGCTGCCTTCAAGACCAACTTCTTTGTCAATGGGCTCCTAGACCTGGTGAAAGCCAGGGAAGACTTGCGTGCAGGGAAGCCAGCCTGTGCCCTGTGCCCTCTAGTGGGGGGCACCAGTTCTGGGGGACCGGCCACAGCCAGGTGCCTGGACTGTGCTGATGATCTGTGTCAGGCCTGTGCCGACGGGCACCGCTGCACCCGCCAGACCCACACCCACCGCGTGGTGGACCTGGTAGGCTACAGGGCAGGGTGGTACGATGAGGAGGCCCGTGAGCGTCAGGCAGCCCAGTGTCCCCAGCACCCAGGGGAGGCGCTGCGCTTCCTGTGCCAGCTGTGCTCCCAGCTGTTGTGCAGAGAATGTCGTCTGGATCCCCACCTGGACCACCCCTGCCTGCCCCTGGCCGAAGCAGTTCGTGCTAGGAGGCCAGGCCTTGAGGAGCTGCTGGCAGGTGTGGACAACAGTTTGGCTGAGCTGGAGGCCACCCGGGGGATGGAAAAGGAAGCACTGGCCCGACTGCGGGAACAGGCCGCCAGGGTGGGGACACAGGTAGAGGAGGCAGCTGAGGGGGTCCTCAGGGCCCTGCTGGCACAGAAGCAGGAGGTGCTGGGGCAGCTCCGGGCCCATGTGGAGGCTGCTGAGGAGGCTGCCCGAGAGAGGCTGGCTAAGCTAGAAGGCCGGGAGCAGGTGGCCAAGGCAGCAGCTGTGTTTGCCCGGCGGGTGCTCAGCCTGGGTCGAGAGGCTGAGATCCTCTCGCTGGAGGGGGCTATAGCCCAGAGGTTGAGACAGCTGCAAGATTGTCCCTGGACACCTGGGCCAGCCCCTTGCGTGCTGCCCCAGCTGGAGCTCCATCCTGGGCTCCTGGACAAGAACTACCAACTGCTGCGGCTCTCCTTAAAGGAGCAACAGCCCCAGAAAGACAATAGGAAAGATGAGGCCAATACCCAGGAAGGGAATGAAGCCCAGAGCCAGAGAGAGGATGGAGCCGACACAGAGAGGCAGGGTGGAGTCCAGCCCCAATGTAAGGATGGAGCCTTAAGTCCCAAAGAGGACAAAACCCAGACATCCCAAGAAGATGGAGCCCAGACCCCAAAAGGGGACAAAGCCCTGTCGCTCCAAGAAGATGGAGGATTCCAGATCGAAAGGGGTAGCAGATCCAACAAGAAGAAAAAGTTCAAAGGCAGGTGCAAGTCTGTTTCCCGGGAGCCCAGCCCCAGCCTGGGGCCAAATCCAGAAGGCCTCCTTCCCAGGCCCATCTTTTCCTGTAGCTTCCCCACGCGGATGCCAGGGGACAGGCGGGCACCCCGAATCACTGGGCTCTGTCCCTTTGGCCTACGAGAGATCCTGGTCGCAGATGAGCAGAACAAGGTATTGAAACGCTTCTCCCTCAATGGCGACTACAGGGGCACTGTGCCAATCCCTGAGGGCTGCTCCCCATGCAGTGTGGCCGCTCTGCAGGACTCAGTGGCCTTCTCAGCAAACGCGCGACTTTATCTCATCAGCCCTAGTGGCGAAATTCACTGGCGCCGGGCCCTGAGTCTCACCCAGTCCAGCCACTCTGTGTCTGCACTTCCAAGTGGGGACCGTGTGGCCGTCAGTGTGGCAGGCCATGTGGAAGTGTACAACAAGGAAGGCAGCCTGGCCACCCGATTCATGCCTGGGGGCAAAGCCAGTCGGGGCCAGCGGGCACTGGTGTTTCTGACCACCAGCCCTCAGGGTAATTTTATAGGGTCAGATTGGAAACAGAATAGTGTAGTAGTTTGTGACGGGATGGGCCAGGTGATTGGGGAGTACAAGGGGCCTGGCCTGCATGGCTGCCAGCCTGGCTCCGTATCCGTGGATAAGAAGGGCTACATCTTTCTGACCCTTCAAAAGATCAACAAGGTGGTGATCCTGGACCCCCAGGGGTCATTTCTTGGGGACTTCCTGACAGCCTACCATGGCCTGGAAAAGCCCCGAGTGACCACCATGGTGGATGGCAGGTACCTGGTTGTGTCTCTCAGTAATGGAACCATCCATGTCTTTCGGGTCCGTTTTCCTGACAGTTAAAGGGGCTGGGACTGGGGTTGGGGAGGGGGCAGGGGAGGGCAGGAAGCAGGACCACCTATGGGATGTGATGGCTGAGGGCATTATCTCAGAGGGCAGGGGTTTGCAACTTTTCAGCGTAAGATGCCATACTGTTAACCCCTCTTTCAATGGGCCGATAGGGGACCAAGGGTGGCTGCATGACTGTAACTCTCAGAAGCAGACAGAGGGGTGCTAGAAGTCAATCAAGCCTCTCGCTTTTTTGGTGGGCGACACCTGTAGCTGTTACTGCCACTGTATAGTTTAGGCATCTGGGCTTTGTAAACATGTCCTAATTTGTATACTTTGAAAACATTCCAAGTTGGGAATGGTGGCTCACACCTGTAGTCCCAGACCCTTGGGAAGCTGAGGCAGGAGGATAGTGAGTTCCAGGTCAACCTGGGCTGTATCTTGAAACCTTATCTCAAAAGAAAAAAAAATTCCTTATGGAATAGCCATGGTAGAGTCTGGGGAGGTAGGCACGAGCCAAGAAGGACCCAGGGTAGGTCAGACATGGGTAGAAGGGAGCCATAACTGGCTGCCCTCAGACTGTCACAGAGGCATATGGGGTCATAAGAGGCCTGTCTCAAAATGGCAGTAACAATGACATATTCTGTCAGCCACCACTGAGAAGTACAGTTCCTTCACTGAAGTACAGTGTAGGCTTCATGTGGGTCCCTGGCAGAAGCCACAGATGTGAGTCTAGAAGGCTGTGAAGGGAATAGACCTCCCCAGAAAAACCAAGCAGGCATTAGTGGGTGTCTAAAAATCCCAGTGCTGGGTATCAGAGAAGGGGGGGCCCTCTACACCATCCCCCAGAGCCAATCCAAGGCAAAACCTATGTAGGATCATGATGGAACACTTCTGTTATACTTTTTGTTCTTTTTCTAGAGTTTGGTTTTTTTTTTTGTTTCCCCTTAATTTTTCAGCAAAATTCCTTTTAAGACATGTTAGACTTTGCTTGGCTGAACTAAGGTAACTAGAGTGTCCTGTTGGTCACTGTGACTGGGGCCGGTGTGGAATTAGGGTGCCAAGCCACCCAGAGAATCTGAGAAGTTGACAATGGGGCTGGGATGGAGGGAGGTGTAAAAACTGAGGGAAAGATCCAGACAGAAGTGAGCCACGGGCCACTGTCCTTTTTATCAGAGGTGGCAGCAATGGAAGTGAGCTGGTTGAGGAGGTGTGGGCACATGTTTAGCCAGGGGCTGTCAAGATGACGCAGAAGGGAAGCTTAAAGTAAGGATTACAGACGACACAGTGTTCTTGGGAACAGAGGGATTTGAGACAAGTGCAGATGAAAAATACAGGGTGTTGGGGTAGGGAGAAGAAAATCATTTTCTGGCGGGGCACAGTTCTTGTTTATCAAAATGAGGGAAATCATTAATGTCTAGGTGAACAACTTCAATTATATAAAAATTAAAAATATATGCACAGGATTGGGGGTGTAGCTCAGTGGTAGAGCACTTGCCTAGCTTGTGCAAGGCCCTGAACTGAAAAAAATCCCCAGCACTAAAAAAAAAAAAAAAAAATACACTGCAAAGAATAATGAAAATGAAAAGAGAATAATAAGATGATAAAATTATATAGAATTGATTTGATAAGGAAAAACCACGTCACAAGTAAAGGCAATGGCTAAGAGACTTAATAGAACAAAGAACCAAACAGAGCCTGTTCCCAAGAGGAAAGGCGTACACGCAAGAACTTGTAAAGTGAAATAAAAAATAATAATAAAATCACTCATATTCATCAAAAATAAATTTTAAAAGTATGTTTTTGAGAAATACATGGACTCCAGGCAGTGTAAAATAATGCTTCCAGGAGAGTAATTTGGTAAGACTTGACAAAAGTTTCCAAAAAAAAAAATGATTATAAGAATGTTATATCCCTTTGGGGATACATTCTGGGAAAAAAATTCAATAGAAGAAAAGTATTTGCAGAGACATTTGTGGCTGTGCTAGGTATTACAGTCATTCACTGTGTGGTGACAGATAGTGAATTGTGGTGTTTTAGGGGAATGAGTTACTGCCTTTGGGTATGACAACTATGAAGACTATTTGGAAGAAATAGTTATGAGATTGAATCACAAAACAAAAAAAGAGAGAGAACTTGAAATCACACAGTGCTAGCGAGGTAGAAGTACGTCTGAGTAGTTACAGAGTAGAAACAGGTTTCGGGTGTGTCAGTAGTTAATGATTTGGGAGACAGTTCTTTTTGAGTTATTTTGTGCTGTTATTTATATACGCACATTTCTATTTTAGTTATTATTCTTATTATTCATGACATAGCATATATGTTTGAATATTTACTTCGAGAAAATACAACTCCATAAATGATATTGAAGAATTGGGTTTGAGAATGAATGGGTCAGTTAGAACAAATGAGATTGTCCCATAGGAAAAGAGGCAAGAGCTGAGAAAAGGAGAGTCCCAGCTGGTCAGGGCTCTCAGCAGGAGGGTCACCAGAGCTGGACCTGGTGATGGACCAAGGAACCACCCTGGGATGGCTTGCAGTGCAGGCGATCCCCACAGGTGATGGGTTAGGGATGGTTGTGGAGTGACCAGCATGTAGGTGAAGTCTTGTCGAGTTCACCAACTAACTCAGACCAATTGGAAACCAAGTGGTAGGTTCTACAGAACCAACTAGTATAGGATGAATCGTATGAAGGACCAAGGTGGTATCTGTCTTTGTTGCAGCTCTGTCTTCAGAGTTAGCATGTGACAACTCATTGTCAATGCTCAGTAAATGTCTGTGAAATGAATTAATGTCTAGAAAGGGATCAGACAGTATTCTGATGCCAGAGATTTCTTTCCCATCTCAAAAATGTCAAGCAGTGCAGAAACCGTGGCTGGTGGTGGGAAATCTCCAGTAGGGGGCACTGTGGACACAGCCCACCATGCTCCTCTAACAGAACTCTGTTAGAACCAGGGATATGATTGAGGTGTCCTGCTTCTGTGTTTGTGGAGAGGGGCAGATCTAGGAGACCCGACTCTAGGAGTTTGTGCCTCTTCCTGTTTGCTTGCACACCATCTGATTGCAACAGCAGCTCTGGAGTGGTGCACAGGAAATTGGCCAAAGGGCCTGGCTGGTGGGATGGCTCCAATCGAGTGTCCCTCCCGGGGACAAGGCAGGAATAGAGACCTTCAGAAATGAAACATCCCCTGGTTGAGAAAGAGAATCCCATACATGCTCAAGAGCTGAATGAGCCAAGTGGCTTCCCAGGTACATTAAAAGACAGAGGGAAATGAAATTTTCCTCATAGCGTTAGGAGGTTGGAAGGTACAGACAGCTGGCAAAATGTGGAAAACGAGAAGTATAGCATCGAGCATGGTTTGGGAGTGAAATTCTGAACCCCTGGAGATCCTAGTGAGTCACATCGCAAGCACTAATCACTCTCAGAGAACCATTCTGGGTGTGCTACAAATCCCCCCACCCCACGTTGGACTGTGACAATTAGCTTGATCAATTGTTCTTTTCCTGGTTGGGGCTGTCCACTTGTTCATGGACCAGTGACAGGAGAATGCCATCATTTGGGTAGGGAGGAGAGGAAGTAAAACCTCTTTCATATGCTTTGTGCTGAAAAGGGGGGAAGAGAATGAGGTAGTAGAGACCTGAGTTGATTGCTGGCTTTTCCATTAAATGGCTGTGTGATCTTGCTCTAGTTCCTTAACCTCTCGGAGCCTTGGTTTGCACCAGGCCTTTGATTTGTACCAGTAAAATGGGGGATCGTGATCTACCATGGCCGCCTCAACAGGACTGCAGTGAGAATAGGATGAGACTTGTAGGGAGGTGTTGTGTACATCATAAAGCTTAACTCCAAGGTATTGGTCAGGAAAGAATTCAACCGATTTGTGCTGACCCTTAAGTGTAAGCTTGAATGGGGATTTTGCATGCATTATTGTGGCATAAAAGCTTAAGAAGCAGGCATGATGGTGAATGCCATAATCCCAGTACTCAAAAGGCAGAGGCTGAGGATCTCGAGTTCTGGGAAAGTCTAGAGTACATAGAGAGACCCTGTCTCAAAATTTAAAAAAATAAATAAAAATAAACTTAAAGCCCAAGAACATCCAGGCATTCAGGTAGAGCAGCTATCTGAAAACTGTGTTCTTGGGAGGAGGCTGTTTGTTTTTCTTTCCAACAGTTACCAAAAAAGCCATATGTAAAGGCACAGAAGTGACTGCAGAGGCAGAGGGGACCAACAGTCAGCTTGCCAAGATTCAATTGCATTCCAAAAAGTCATCCGAGAATCTGACTGAACTAATGAAAGCCTGATTATTCTCAACATTTCAAAAAAGTTAAAAATGGCAAGAGTGGCCCAATCTTTTGATAACTTAGAGAAAATATAATTGGGGAAGGAATCACTGTCTTTTTACAATACACATACTATTACTGTATCTATAAAGTCATTTTCCAAATCTACAGAGATAGAGTTCCAAAGATGCAGAAGTCCAAGAGAGAAGTGAAAAAAATTTCCAAGGAAATTGGTGAGGTTGGTGACCTGAGTTGGGCAGGGTTTGATAGGTGAGTGTTAAGGTCAAGGTGTTTGACCATTGCTCCTTGGTGGAGAAGCTGAGAGCTTGAGCTGTCCTCCTGTAAGTTAAGGGGGTCCTGGGACAAGGGTAAAGACCTCTGCTTTGGGGACAAAGAAACCTTGCAGTAGCTGGGGCAGAGAGAGTTCTTAGTAGGAGAGACCAAGGGGTAGGCTTGGGAAAGTAGGGAATTTAACTGAATATACCAGACCAGCCCCCACCCAACAGGCTCATGAACCTAGTTTAATTAAATGCATCAGGACAGGAGTAAAGATAGGTCCTCAGTGGACTGAAGACTCCTGTGATTGGAGGGGTGGAAACAGCACAGTGAAGTGAGGTAAGACCTCACCTGGGGGGCTGGGTGAGGCATCTTGGGGACCAGGTGGAGAGGGGCCTATGCAGAAAAAGGAGAACTAGAAAATAGATTTGGAGAGCTTTGGGAAGGCAACCTGAGGTTTC